AACCATGAAAGAAAGGTAACTTTCTTCATCAGGGAGGTGTGGTGTATGTGTGTGTCTCATAACACTTTACCAGCAGGAATGAATGAGGCTTTGCAGCACTGAGAGAGGGAGGAAAGAAATGTGCTGAAGGCAGCCAGCTCTGGGGTGGAATTCAGCAGCTACTTAATAGCACACAACAATACTAAATAGCAATTATAGGCAAGAAGTGAGGAACACCAAATACAAGTGAGAGTGCAGTGTATGGGAGTGAGGGGGGAAATCTAGCACTAAGTGGACAATATGTAATTGTTCACAGTGCAATTTGCCCAGGACACCAGGGATAATGGGGTCCTAAATAACCAGCAGTGCTCCAAGATGAGATATTAATTCATAACTTTTCACTAAGAAAATCACCACCTTCTGAACCAGCAACATCTCGGGTATCTCCCGTCCATCTATGGGCTCAGCTCAATATTGCCCAGGTTGTAAGATCTGACAGGCTCCGAGCACATACTGGCAAGTCTGCACCGCAGAAGAAGGTGAACGTAGAACAGACACATTCTTTCAACAGAGGCTTTACTTTTACCTAAAATGTGGCAATGTTTCAGAGTTCATGAGCCAAACAGCACTTTGCTGATGATTTCTGTCACAATTTAGAGCAACTGCACCTGTATTCCCCCTCTATGGTCCCACAAGGCCACCAACTCTCAGGCTTCCAACTCCCCACCCATCACCTCTCCTGGGCAGAGACCCGCATCTCTCTCCCCGACCTCGCAAAGGTATTTCCAACCTGCAGTTTCCTGACTACACTGTGAATTCCTCAGCAAGGCAGACTGCCTCCTCAGAGGCTATAAAGAGCGTAATTGCCCATGGCTTTAAATTACTGCAGAGCTTTTCCTAAGCAAGCACATTTATTCTTAAGGTAAAAGCATTGGCAGAAAACATTAAAAGAACCTATAAGCATGCTAATAAACTTATCAGAGATCACCCCCACCTCAGTTTCCACTAGGGCTGTGATTGGTGTCAGTCTATCCAACCCTTCCCTAAGGATTGGGGCCCTCCCTTTGGACAGATGGTCCTGTCCATTTGCTGGATCAAAGAGAGGGCCTGGGTGAGTTTAAACTCAGGCAATTTATCCTAAAGTCCTTTCTTTGTTTGTTAGCCTCTGGAAAATCCAGACTGAACTAGTATAGGAGAGCTCCCAAAGAGGTGGTACCTCTCTGGAGGTGTTACAAATGTGTGAATTTACCTAAACATGCCCCACTGTTCTTAATTCCTAGTGGTCTGTAGTTACCCTTCCCCATGGAATTACACACAACCCCTGGACCACAATGATACGTAAACTTAATACAGTGAAATCTCCCAAAGACATTGCAAGAAATTGTCATATCTGTCAGAATTAGTCACACAGCACTTTGCTAATGGTTTCTGCTTGTGATGGGAAATGCCGGAGCCCGTATTTTTCCTCAGTAAGGTATCTCACTAATGGTGCTGGTCTTGGATGTGGGCGGAGAGGAGTGAAGATGGCAGGTGTCCGGAACCCAGAACGATTTTTTTAAAGGATTGCCGCTAGAAGTTGTCTTCTGAACAAGGAAATTATTCTGAAATTTAGCATTGCGCCTTTAACACTGTAAGTGGAGTAAGGAGGATTTAAGGAGGATTTAAAACCTGCTGGTTTATTCTAAGCTAACAAACGAGAGTTTATTTCTTGGAGAAGATATCTCCAATAGCATGAGATTGAGAGAGAATTATCTTTCTATTTTTAGAAGTGAAACAGAAGGAATGCAGGAAGGCTCAGGAAATGGAACCCTTTTCCTCTTGCTTTTTAATCCATATGCTGAGCCAGTTCAGAGTGGTTGGAATTCATTCCCATCTTGCCTCTGTCCTGAGGCTTATGTGAAATGAGCTGGGGGCTTCAGTCCAGTTGCCAGCAGACAAATGTCCACAAAAACTAAATCAACTCTGTCACATCTAGCACTTTGTTGGCAGTCTCAGCCTAAGGCCAAAGGCAGAGACTGAACTCCCCTCAGACCCTCTAGAGGTGGGGTATCACTGTGCCTCAGTGGGTCACAATTGAGGATGCCAAATGCAGGACAAACTGCTGAGAAGCAGGGCAGATTCACCCTAAACTGGTGGTTATTCTATCTTTACATTATAACAAGCCAGGAACAAAAGTAAATTTCTGTCTCGCCACACTGGTTAACAAAAAATCAAAAGTTCAGTCTCCTTAGGCATTCCAGCTCTTGGCTCACCACCCAGACACTGGACTCTATGATGAGTGGCTACTGAAAACCAATTTAATCAAATATAGGGTCCTCTAATCCCAAAATATGAGCCACTTAGCCAGGTCAATATATAACTCAGATCTTACCCAGTGATCATGCTGATGCCAATCCTTTAGTCACTAAAAACTAAAGAAATAATAATAAATAATAAATAATAACAATAAAAGGAAAGAAGAGAGTTAATAAATCATATACAGACAAATACTTGCAAAGTCCTTATCTCAGGCTTGTAGCAATGATGGAATAAACTGCTGGCTTGTAAAGTCTCTCTGGTAACTTCCAAAAGATTGGAAGATCTTCAATCCATAGTTCAAAAGGCTCCTTTTTGTTGTAAGTCCAGAGAATCACGGTAGGAAAGAGACAAAATGGAGATATCTCATGGGCCTTTTATATCCTTTGCCGTGTGCATGGAATTTTACTGTCTCAAACACAGCTCACAGCCTAAGTTTGTGGAAAGTTTTACTGGCCCAAAATGGAACCCAGGGTCACCTGGGCATATCGCATGTTTTTATATACTTCGATGACTCAAGGGACAGCCATTGCCTATATTCTTGTTGAGGCATCCACAGGAAGAGCTATCTGGGCCTATTGTTAGAATGAAGTGTCCTTAATGGACCATCAACACATTGCTGTCTGGCTCTAGGTCACTTATCTGGGTGTTACTCAGGAATGCAACACATATGTAAGATACAAATCCACAGCCAATATTCATAACTTTAGATACAAAGATGATACATGCATATAAACAGGATAATCTTACTTAGCAAATCAGAAGGTTTCCATTGACACCTTACATTATATACTTTGTACAAGGTGTGTTGCAATTGTATACCGGTGGCAATATCAATGATATAAATGGCCATAGTCAATCATACAGCATCACAAACATAAATCAACACTTCACAACTAAATAATAATAATTAATGGAGATATCCCATCTCCTAGAACTGGAAGGGACCTTGAAAGGTCATCAAGTCCAGCCCCCTGCCTTCACTAGCAGGACTCAGTGGTTTGAGCATTGGCCTGCTAAACCCAAGGTTGTGAGTTCAATCTTTGAGGGGGCCATTTAGGGATCTGGGACAAAAATCTGTTTAAGGATTGGTCCTGCTTTGAGTAGGGGGTTGGACTAGATGACCTCCTGAGGTCCCTTCCAACCCTGGTATTCTATGATCATACTGATTTTGCCCCAGATCCCCAAGTAGTCCCCTCAAGGATTGAACTCACAATGCTGGGTTTAGCAGGCCAATGCTCAAACCACTGAGCTATCCCTCCCCCCCCAGCACTTTTTTGCAGTCTCAATCTAAGGCCAAAGGCAGAGACTGAACTCCTCTGTGACCCTCTAGAGGTGGGGTCTCTCCAAATTAGGGTTGATGCATACTGATGATGAAGGTATGCAGGGGGAGCTTGCATTGCAGTATCTTATTCAAAGCAGACTTTGGGTGTATTTGATCTGGGGTTGAAACATGTAACTTAGTTCTTTGGTTTTCTCCTTCTGTTCCCTCTGCTTCAAATAATACAGCAGCAGTTACGATAATCCGATATCTAGGACTGGTGAGAAAATCAGAATAAATGTGATTTTTTAAAAAATATGTGGTGATTCAATATTGTTGCTAATTGTGAAGCGCTACCTCCCTGGTGAGTCCTACCAAGCAACACACCGTTTGCTTCCCACATCCGGCACTGCCACCCCAAAAAGTGTTTTAGCTGCCACATGCTTTCTCCATGGCTGCACATCCAGCCTGGGTGAATCCTATTCCACTTGAAAGCTACCTGGATCCTGAAGCAAAACACAGCAGCTTGGCTGCTCTCACTCACGTCAGCATCCAAAACACTCCTTCAGCCTGGGAACACTGCCAGAAAGGTATGATCTCAGGCAAAGTTCCTGCTTTACGTAATATTTCCAATAAGTGACCCAGAGCCAGCTCAGCCTTGATGAAGCTAGAGGGTAGGTGAGAGTGACCCAAGGTAGAAAGGCTCCATGAGGAGTCCTCCTCCCCAGTTTGGGCTTAGTGATACCAAATGGAGAAAGGTCACCTCTTCCCAGTGTTCAGCATGAGCCTCAGGGTAGGTCAGAGAAAAGCTGATTTTGACCTACACAGCCCTAAACGGTTTGGGTGCTAGTTGCATTACAGACCAACCTCTCCCTCCCTGCATGGTGCAGCAGCAGTGTGATCATCTGAAGGCCATACGATAATAACCCTCAGGTGTGAATGGGATGGGACTGGTGACAAGTTCCTCTTCAGAGTGGCAGGCCCTTTACTTTGGAACCGCTTTGGCTGTGCTCAGGCAGGGGCTGAAAGCAGAAGCCGCTATTATTTAAGCCCGGGGCAGGCTCAGTGCAGCAGGGCTGGGGAGACATGGGTTGCCATGCCACATCTCTGCGGTGATGCCGCAGTAGGGGCTGCCTGGGGGAGTAGGGGACCGGTTACCTGGTTGGGCAGAGCCGCGCAGTGGAAGGTGCTGAAGCAGCAGGTGCCTGTCCCCCTAAGCAGGGGGGCGGGACCAATTTGTAGAGTGGAGGTGCTGAGAGCCATTGACCCAAACTGTAACCCATCACTTCAAGCCAGGGGGTGCAGCAGCAGCCCCCGCTGCATTTCTAGTTCCGCCAGCACCTATGTGGCCAGGGAAGCCTGCGGGTGTGGGAAGGGAGGGGCTCGGCTGTGGTTCTGGAAGGGGGCGGTCCGCCCAGCCCAAGCTTCCAACACCCCCTCCTCTGGGAGAAGCGCATCCCGCTGCGTGCCTGGGGAGGGGGAGCACGCAGCGGGAGGAGCAGCCGCAGGCGGAGCGGCCCCGGGACCAGCCCCCCCTGGTGCGGGAGGAGGGGACTCCCGGGGCACCTGCAGCCGGCGCGCGGGCATCGCTACCTTCCAGCCGCTGCAGCAGCACCGCGCAGGGGGGTCTGGGGGCCGGGCTCTGTGCATGCAGCCGGTGGAGTGGGGAGCCGACCCCCGCCGGTTGGTGCATGCCCGCTGCAGGCGGGCGCCGATAACCCGGGCCCAGCGCAGTGGGGAGCTGGCGGCCGGTGCATGCGGCAGGCGATGCCCGCCGGCCGGGGGCTGAGCAAGACGGCGCTGGTCCCCGGCGCGGTGCCCCGGCCGAGCGCCCCCCAGGCCGCCCCTCGCCATGAAGCGGCAGAACCTGCGCACGGTCTCGCTGATCCTCTGCATCTTCTCCTACCTGCTGGTGGGCGCCGCCGTCTTCGATGCGCTGGAGTCGGAGGCCGAGAGCGGCCGCAGGCGGCTGCTGGAGCAGAAGCGGGGCGAGCTCCGCAGGAAGTACCGCTTCTCGGCCGACGACTACCGCGAGCTGGAGCGGCTGGTGCTGCAGGCCGAGCCGCACCGCGCCGGCGGGCAGTGGAAGTTCGCCGGCTCCTTCTACTTCGCCATCACGGTCATCACCACCATCGGTGAGTGCGGGCTCGGGCCGCCCCCCTCCACGGGCACCGAGCCGCCCCGTCCCCCCAGGGCACCGAGCCGCCCTCTGCCTGCATCCATTACCCTGCCCTCATGGGCACCGAGCCAGCCCGCCTGCACCCATCACTCTGCCCCCATCGGCACCGAGCCGCCCCCTTGCCTGCCCCCACCCCTCCACGGGCACCGAGCCGCCCTCTGCCTTCATCCATCACCCTGCCCTCATGGGCACCGAGCCAGCCCGCCTGCACCCATCACTCTGCCCCCATCGGCACCGAGCCGCCCCCTCGCCTGCCCCCACCCCTCCACGGGCACCGAGCCGCCCCGTCCCCCCAGGGCACCGAGCCAGCCCCTGCCTGCACCCACCCCTCCACGGGCACCGAGCCGCCCCGTCCCCCCAGG